ACATTGCCAGTTAAACAGAAGTCCCAATGTTATTATGGGCTACTGGACTCTTTTAGAATATTTTGCTGAGTTTACACACCTATAATATTCAAATAACAGAACTTAGCAAAAAAAGGGTGTACAGATGAATGTCCATTTTGTATTTGTGTATTCAAAGCGGTTAGGATAGATATAAGGTTACATTCTCTTAATGAATAGAATGATTTGTTCTGGTGGTGTTTGTAAATAGGATCTCAGGTCTGCATCTTGTACAGCAATTAACCATTAAGAAGAATGTATGCAGTGTGTTATTGAAACTGTCCTAGCGATTTGATTTGAAACTGTCTCATTGCTATTTGTTTGTCAATAAAATTATGAAAAAAAAAAAAAAAAAAAGAAATCTTCCATTAAGCTAATAGGAGCCCAAGTTTATAGGAAACAATGACAAAGTAAAACACCATGTTGCTTAAATGATATTTTAGAGAATGTGTGCTTAGAAATGGGCTTTTGAAGGAGAATTCGTGTTGCATAATAGTAAGTTTCATAGAATTCCTCAACTAGAAGGGACATAAGACACCCACTGTTACAATGCTCTCATTTTATAGATATGAAACTGCTGCCCAGGAAAGGTAGGCATTCGTCCAAAGGAGGACCATGGGTACTGTTTCCACATTTCCTTTCTTTCCCAGCATTACATTTCATGAGTAAAACTTCATCATTGTAAAGCAAGTTTTCTTTTAAATTACAAGTTTTTGGCTAAGACAATTCTCTTAATCTCAATCATATATCCACAGTAGATTTCCTAAACATTCACTAAGATGAAAATTCAATTCTATTCTGAAGAATCATACCTGTCTGAGCAAGGGCTGCTTCCTGCTAACCCAAAAGCACTGAAGGTCAAGAACCACACCCTAGATACACACAAAGAGCAAAGTAAAGGTGACAGGAAACAGGCAGGTAGGTCTTCTGCAAAAGCGAAGAGGGCCAAGACATGGAGGGTGGCGCGGGGTGGTGGGGAGCAGGCAGAAGACAATCCAGACGGGGTCTGCCACGCAGCAGATCCCCTCGGTGAGTGGCCAGTGCGAGCTGCAGCGTGCGCTGGTAATGAGGAGCTTCTTGAAAAGAGTCACGCTGTGTGTCACAGTCTAAAGGGCAAGCAGATAATGCCTGGGGACAGAAAGGTGAGATCCAGAAAACAGCCAGCAAGGCAGATGGAGATGTGAACATACCAGCGGATACCCTTTCCAGAGAGGCAGCCAGAGATCACGTTGATCTGGGGGGTGTTTGCTGCTGCATGGACGCCTTAGGAGAGCATCTTCATTTGTTTCTACATACTCTCAAATACTGAATACTGCCTACAATGGTACAACCCAAGGTGTCTTGCTTTGGCCAAAACGAGGTCGAGTGAGATGCCTAGAGCTACTATCACAACCAAAACATTTTAAATCAACATACGCGTTTTGTATTTTAAACTGCTTATATTAATTTTCGCTGAATTTCTATGAAATACAGTTGCTTCATAAATAGGAACTCCCTGGTCAAAAATTCTGAATGTGATTTTTAATGTTTCAGAATTGTGTCCCAGCAACCGAGGTGTGCAAGTTTTGGTAAGAGTGCCTGACACAGAATAAAAACAAATTTTGGCTTTGAAACGACTTCAAAGAGTTGAGTTCACAAGATAGTACTTAATTGTATGCTTCCACATTCTCTGCTCTGCAGCCATACTTCCTCTGAGGTCTTCGCCTAGGAGACAGCTCCTGTGCGAAGACACGGAAGACTCCAGGCCCCCCGACAGGGCTGCACGCAGCGGCACTCGCCAAGTCGGGAGGTGCGCATCATCGCCAAGACAACCATGCCCGGAGTGCCACACCTGCAAAGGAAAGCGCGTGCACCACGTGTGCTTACAAGTGCGTGTCTGCTGAACAGCGCATACCTTCGTCCCTTGCATCCCGGGGAGGCCCGTGTACCCAGGTTCTCCTGGAAGACCCCTCGGTCCTGGTTCTCCCTGGAGAGCACAGAAGTTCTGAGGAGACCGCCGACCTACTGCTGCTAAGAAATGTCCTGCTTTCTCTTTACTTAATATCTCAAATTTCAAAAAACATGGTTAAAACTTGATTGGCATTTTGAGTTATAATCATAAAAATGGTAAGGAATGAAAAGTTTATTAATCTCTATAAAATTTTCTGTATTTTCCCTAATTTTTCCACTTAAATGGGGATTGAGCTCAGAACCTTGCACTTGCCAGACAAGCACTTATTCTACTGAGCTATCTCCCTGGCCCTACCAGTTGAATAATTCTAAGAGCATTCATATAAGTAATTCTATAAGTATTTCTATAAGTATTTGGTGTGTTATTATGTTTTACAACTAGTAAAATGAACTGTTTAGCTAAAATACTAAACACAAGCACCAGTTTTGTTTGTCTATTTGCTAACAGTTTCTTTTCTCCTTGAAACTGCTTTTTTCACATTGGTCCCTTAAAAAGCCTTTGTTACAAAACTTACAATTATAAGTAACAAAAATTATTGAAATCTTATTAGCCATTATTATTTTGTTATGTTTTCTAACTCAAACACACAAGACAATTTAATAAATAAAATGTAGTTTTTAAATAATGCTTTTTAATCTTATAAAGTTCTTTATATAGCATTACATAATTTCATAACATGATTTTTAAGTGCAGAAGAATATTAAAAGATGATGATGATGATGATGATGATGATGATGATGATGATGATGATTGAGACAGGGTCTCACTATGCATCTCAGGCTGGCCTTGAACTCACTTTGCAGTCCAAGCTGGCTTTGAACTCTCAGTCCCATGCCTTACCCTCCCAGGTGCTAGGATTACAGGTGTGCACCAGCATACCTGGCCCAATTTATCATGTCTTGTTAATTAAAGTTTCTTCTATCTTACTTTACAACTTTCAGTTATTTTTACAATATCGGCATCCATATCCTTATACTTAATTTTATTTAGGTTTATATTGATTTTTTTATAAATATGGGATTATTATTATCTTACAAATAAATTGGCTCAAATTCTTGAGCTGTCTCCACTGAAGAGAATATTACATATTAACTCAATTTCCCTAATCTGCATTCCCCTGTATTTTCTTTCTTTTTTTTTTTTTTTAAAAAAAAAAGGTTTTTAAAAGTATTGACAGTATTAGGATATACATATGAGAAAGAATAAAACATTGACAATATGCTCCTAGAGAATATAATCATAATAGTGTATAACCTTTATTATTCTAGAAAGTTAAGGCAGAGGATATATCATATGTTTATTCCTCAATGACATAATATCTAAAAACAAAAAGAAAAACCCTGAATTGACCATTTCTTTTCATGTCCTTTAATCTTCCTATATGTAATCCTCAATTTCATTTATTTTTTCTTGCAGGATACAAAATGATAATTTTCATAAGTAACGAAGGGACCTATGTTGCAACCTTTTGACAGTGTTTCCAACATGACCAACCATGCTTACCTTGAGTCCAGAAGCCCCAGGGAGCCCTTGAAGTCCAGGTTCACCTTTGCTCCCCTACCAATGGACCAAAATCATATAAATTAGTAAAAGTAAAGTAGTTGTATACCTGTTGCAGATGCTTAAGGGAGTTGTTTTAAATAACATATTTTCACCTTTCCAATTACTTATTAAGAAAACTCTTTTAAGCAAGAAACAGTTTGACTACTGATAAACTTTCTAGAACTAAGTATTAAAGCTGCCTGCTCCCAGTACATTCGAAGGTGACGTGTACTTGACAGCACCCTACGGGCTTTTGACCCTCACCCATTTTCTGTGTCTCACTTTTTCAGTATGTCTCACCTCTGCAATTGAAGAAATTAGATTCAAATATATAGTTTTTTAAAAAGAAACATGAATCAGAAATGTTTATTTAGTTTGTATTGTTTTTGATTGTTCTAGTGCAGTCTTCTGTAACAAACAGGAAAAGTAGTACCAAGTTGACAGAGCAAAGAATATCATACACAGAAAAAAGAGCAGTATGTTTAAAGGAGACAGACAGACACCACTATCTAATCAGGTAAGAGTATCAAAAGTAGCTTTAGCTTTCAAACATGCTGATACCTGAATGCACACACCTGGTAAAGGCCTGAAACTAAACAGGCTGTATCACATGTGATAGCAGAGGACAGTAATTACCCATAGAACCAATCTGACTTCACTAGTAAGTAAAAGTTAGCAATTAAAAGACTTATTAGTTTATTAATAAGTAAAATTCTCCATTTTCAGTTTTTAAAAAGTTTTATAGGCTACTTATGATAAGAAATCTGTGAGTATAATATTTGAACTTAAAGTATTTAAGACTAAAATACCCAGAGCTAATAAGACTTGCCCAAAGTTACATGGCTTGATCGCATTGCTATATAAAAAACATTTAGTAAATTTCCTTAAAAACTGAAAGTGGGAATTTCAGGAGTAGAAAGTAAATATTTATTACTCCAGTAAATAAAAGTAGGCTATAAGTGGTAGAAGGCTATTTTTATAAGAGGTATGATACCTAACTTGAAAGTTTTCTAATGTTTACCAGAGTTTTAGCCTTATTCCTACCCAAAAAAGTATGGTTTCATCACTTACCCACAAAATCATTTGTTGATGATATTGAAGGCGTAGCTCACAAAAGTACAGTTGATACAGCTCTCAGGAATATGCTAATGCACAGCTCAGTCAACTAAACTATATGGGCCAAATCCAGTCTCACACACACTGGTGAACTAAAATTTTCCCAGAACAGAGCCATGTCCCACACCCATTCATTCCATGTTGGCCACATCCACTTGCATGTTGCAAGTGTAAATGATACGATGGACGTTAGCAATGGTAATGTGGCCCTTGAAACCTGAAACACTTACTAGCCAGCCTTTTGTAAAATAAGTTTCCAATACTTAAACTAATATACCACATGGAAAAAAAGTTGAAATATTTGAATATTAATAGATATAATTTTACCTATAACTTAAGAGCTGTAATTCTACCTAAGTCTATTTTTAACAAAATAATTGGAAAAGTACAAAATGAAGGAAAACAAACCATGAGAATACATTTTACAATAAGAAAACTGTGATACTAGAAGTGGCTTTTCTGTGCAAACAAATACACAGAATCTCCCCACATGGTAGACACTGAAACAGAGACACTGTTTTCGTCTTGAATGGAAAATCCAGCAGATTCAACTGATCTCTATCTCAGTCTCAACTGACTGTGTGATATGGCTAATAAAAAAAGCTGATGTACTCTAAGGATGTATTTTTGAGAAATTACAAGATTCAGGAAATCACGGCAGAGACTTTTAACAAATGAGAAATTAAGGACAACATCTTGCAAGAACAGTTTCTGCTGGACCAGTCCGTGCAGCCCTGCCACCAGGACTCCTGCTGCCCAAGTATTCTCCAGAATCCAATGCCAATGAAAAGGCACATCCCTTTACCAAATCATTGAGTGCTCATGATGGTTTATAAAGTTTGGAAATTATACTGGAATAGATTAGCTCAAATATTAATTTTGCATATCCAGTCAAGGCCGAAAGAGTCTATAAAGAAACACTATCATTTCAATTTGGAAGGTTAACATAGAACCTAAATAGTTTGGAATTACTAATACTAAATAGTAATTTGGAAAAGTATTTCTAAATAGTTTGGAAAGTTTCCTAAATTTCACCAGGTTTATTCTCTGCTATATATTCTCTGTGATGTATACATACATATTATGCTGTTATATATATTATACAATATGTTGTTATATATTATATATATAATATGTTTAATCTAAAACTTCTATAGATGATGTAAAAGACAAAGTCAACATACGCTGAATGTATAAAACTGTCTGCGATATGTTAAAACAGATAAGTAAACTGAGTTACAAATCGAAGTAGGAAAAATAATTCTCATGCATGATTCTATATACTTCTGGAATTTAATTTTTATCTTCAAGATGACTTAACCTGATAGAATAACTATTCAGCTTCCCTTACTTTTGCTTAAATCTAAAAGCAAATATAACATGTTATCTTATTCACAGGGAATGGCTAAAGCTTATCACAAGGCATTTTGCAAAGAAAAATTCATATGTGTTCCACGTAATAAAAATGTCAAACAGTTAGAAAAATTGGTGATTGGTATCTTCTCTTCTAACTACAGACCCTCAGGGATGCTTCTCCAAGCCCTGCAGGCCCGAGAGAGCCCTCAGTGTTCCTGGGTGACCCCTGACACACTAAAAGGGGAGGGGGCCAACCGAAGAGGAATTCTAGACTTTTCTTTTGCTTAAATGATCCATTATCTTTCAGCCTGTTTCATATGCTGAGCTTTCACCTATGAGTTCATAATTACAAGTGAATACAATTGTCATAGAGATTATACAAGGTCCTGTGATGACAGAAGTTCTTAGTCTTTCCATTTCATTATATTTACCTTAGGTCCTGTCGTGCCAGGCTGACCTGGGGAGCCACGGCTTCCCATCAAGCCCTACAAATGAAAGTGGGAATTTCAGGAGTAGAAGAATATAAAAATATTGTATCTACAGTGACACCCCAGCTTACAAATTTAATTTGTTTTACCATTTGGGGCAAGACAGCTGTGTTTGTGTTTCTGTGGGCAAGAGGGTCATGGTAGTGTTTATCACCTGCCGTGCAGTTTGTGAAAAGAAGCAAAAGTTTGCCAAATAAATTGTTTGCAAACAGAAGCATTCATTAACCAAGGTATTACTGTATTTCCCAGATAAATAGCTTTATAATAATGAATTGAATAATACTACAGTATTCAGGAAATTACCCCACATAATGCTAACAAAGAATAGTAAAGGAATCAAGCTATAGAAGTTAGAATGAGGGCTAGCAAAGCCCTTATTATTCTATTGTTAAAAACAACAGAAAATGAATAAGTTGTAAAAGACGAATTTTTAAAGAAAAGCATATTTTCCATGTTAATTTAATTTCATTGTGAGGGTTAAGAAGTAGTTTTGTTCACTTACATAATTTGAGCAATTTCTGTTTTCTTGAACAATACTTTGAAAGAATTATAATTTAATAAATTTTGTGACTGTAGCAATCTATCCTCAAGTTATGAAATAGTTATATATTTTTTCTTTTTTGACATAAACTTTATTAATAATGGGTTATGAAAAATTTAGGTATTTTGAATCAGTCCATGAGTGCAAAATTCTAGATTTTAACAAAACTTTCCTCCGCTCAGCCCTTCACTGTTACTTTGTTGGCACCCGATTTCATGACAGTGTTGTAAAGCAACTGACTATTACCAAATTCTATGAAACATCCTCCTAGTGTTCATAGAAACCAGAGCTTGTTCTCTTCCAGTGTTTCATTGGCTTATGTACTTTCATGTCTTTACTTTTTTATATTAATTTTATTGAGAAAGAAGTTGCAATGAGACCATTTCAAAACAGATTAGTAGAGCAGTTGCAATAATTAATACATTGCATAATAGTTATATTTTTAAGTCACCAGTATGATTCAAAATAAAATAACCATATGATTCTGGCAGTTAGGACCTGGTTTAATTTATATTGTATTATAATGAATTATATATAACGTCTATATATATTATATCTCTAAATATTATAGTATGTGTTATATTTATTTCTACTTTAATACTATATAAGCATTCTCTCTGTCTCTATATATATATAGATAGATAGATATGCACACATATATATAATACTTAACAAAAGAAATCTGATGTGCAAAAAATAATTAGAACACAATAATACCAGAAAATAAAGTCTCAATGTGGCCATATTTAAAATTCCTTGTCACTACTGTAATACTTTGTTATTAACTTGGCATGGTACTTCAATAACATGTGATATATACTAGGTCATAGCAAGTGGATAAAATATTTTAAATATTCAGTATAAATATTGTTAAGGTGTAATAAACTAACCAATAACTTCCTTTTCTTAAAATAAAGTTAAATATTTGTAACTAAATTTAATTATTTTAATAAATAATATTTAGCAATTATGAAATAGAGGAAGAACATTCTATTTTGAAGGGGAAAAATCTTTTCAACATCCTTAAACTAAAATTCATATTAATGAACATTTTCCTTATATATCCTTGGATGCAAAATGCACAAAATAGTTCACTAAGCACTAAGTAAATATCTATTTTTAACATGTATCTTTCATAATTAAATGAGTCATAAATTTTCAAATATGAAAATCATGACGGGCAGTTTGACTGACAGACTAAAATCAACATCATTTCTTGAAATACATTTAAAACATATTTAGAATCTTGCACATGTATGATTAGATTTACATAGTTTTTAATATCAAACATTTATGTCTCCTCTAAATTTCTAAACTAACTCATTCACTGCTTTAGAATTTTTGTGTTCTTCATATGAACTTATTCTTCTTCATAAGTATAACAAGTTATAAATATTTTAAGTAAAAAAGAATACTTATTGAATTTATTCTATTTCAGGGTGTTTAGAACTCTTTATAATGAGTATCTGTTTCATTGATTTTTATCTATAATAAAAAATAATAATTTAATAATAATAAGGAACTCCAAGTCTTATTTGAATGACCATCTCTTTGAAAGTCTGAAGAAATTGACTCCTCTATAAAAATAAAAATATTCGAAATACAAATTATGTAATTTGTGTAGTTCAAAAATCTCACTGTTACTGCTATATCCTGTATAGTTTTAAACTCCACAATACAAATTCCTTGTACATAATAATACTGCAAACACTCTTATAATAATGACCGTAACATACTGGCAATCCAGGAGATCCTTTTTTTCCTACTGGTCCTGGAGACCCAATTTCACCCTAAAAATAAAATGCAGATCATATTTAAAACTACTGCATTATCAATTCATTCTCAAAATTAGTCTCCTAAAGTACTACAGAATGAAATTCTGAAACAATCACCCCCAATTGATCTGCTTTCATTTCATTACAGCAAGAAAGAAGCAAAGTGACACAGAGAAATCAGGGCTCCAACACCTAGAACGCCCTGGGTCTGAGCCTTCGCCATCAGTCACATATTCCGCGGTACAGTGACATTTTTCAGCTTGCCAGCGGAAGACCTAGAGGCTCAGACCTCTGGTGATGTAAGGCAAAAAAAGCATGTGGACTGTTATCTCTCCCACAGCTGAACAAATATGGCAGTGAATATAAATTATTAAATTAAAAAATTGAGATTAGAGTAATAGGAATGAGACTGTAGCTTCTGACGCTGTGACTACCTAGGTATTCTAAAGGACACTAAATTTAGAACAAAAACCCTGAAAAAAATGCCTTCTTGTGAGTGATTGATGGTGTTTGAGCAGAGCTATAATTCTGAGCATTTGGAACTATGCAGAAATCGTGTAAAGGTAAACATGCAGGAACCAGGATGGGATCAGGGAGAACACTCAGGTACGAGGAAGCTAAATTGTGCAAACCACAGAGAGAAAACAGAATTCTTTAACGCCTATGCCAACTTAGGGTTTTAGAAGGGGGCTCATGAGCCAGGGAGATGGCTCAGTGGAATAAGCGCTTCCCTGGCAAGCACAAGGGCCTGAGTTCAATTCCCGGTTCCACTGAAAAAAAAAAAGAAGGGTGCTCAACTGATATTATGGCTACCACAAACCAGCTCTCCATTAACTAGCTACGCTGAAACACTTCCACAAAATTAAGATGACACAATGAACTCATAGTTAACAACAAAGAAACAAGAGTTAGCAAACAACAGGACCAAGACTCAATGGTAATAACAAATTAAAATGCTGGTACTATTAGAAATAGAACTATATATGAAATATATGTAAGAATTATAGCTGAGATGTTTAAAACTTTAAAAAATAGAAACACAAATGATTGTTAGAATTGAAAGTATAACAAGAACAAAAAATCCAACAAAGATACTGTTTAAAAATTAGAAATAACAGGGCTGGCCAAATAGCTCAGCAGATTAAAGCACCTGCTTAGGAGTGCAGCAACTGGGCTTCAATCCCTGGCTTGCTGTGCTGGCCCCACCCCCAGGGGTGCACTGAGGCTGTAATTGAGACTGGGCATGGTGGTGTGCACCTGTAATCCCAGTGCTTGGGAGGCTGAAAACAGGAAGATCATTATGAATCTGATCTGTGTAGTGAGACCCTGAAGACCTTGTACACCCTATCCTAAATACATGAAAAATAAACTAAAATAAAGAAAAATTAAATGTAACAAAAATAAAAATATATATTGAAATATATAAATAGGGTCTCACTATGTAGTCCAGAACAGCCTTCAACACAGTATGCAACACAGCCAGGTCTTGAACTCATGATCCTTCTGGTTTAAGCTCCTAAGTGCTAGAATTAGAAATATTCCCCTGTATCCAAATTATTTATATATTTTAATTAATTGATGGCTTAGACATCAAGTTAGAAATAATAAAGAATGAACAAGTAAACTAGAAGCTATCTATTAATAATTTAACCTGAATTGAAGACAAAAATCAAAGATATGAAAATATGAAGATAGCATTAAGAGATATAGAAGTTTAAATTGCAAGAAATAAAATATTCTAAATAGAATAAACTAGAAATAATATGAAGATAATGGCTGATTTTCCCCACATTGATTGTTTATCAAATAATTTCACAAATAGGAAGCAAACTTGGTTCTCAGCTGGATGAGTAAAGAGAAATTCATAACTAGATTCTTTTTTAGTGAACTTAACAACACTAAAAATAAATAAAAATACATTTAAAAAAGATCCAAAAGGAAGAAATGGTTCACCTACTAGCAATAATAATTAGAATAACAGCAGATTTTTATGGCTAAACATTGAAAGGAATCAGTGAAAGGAAACTATCATTGTATTAAGAGAAAACAATAGCCTCAAGAGGCATGCTACAAAATTACTTCTTAAAATAAGAGTAAAATTTAAAAAATATACTTAAATAAAAACTTAAAAGTTTATTAGGATATTTTAAAATAAGTTTGGGGGACTGGAAAGACATCTAAATAAAACAAATCAATGAAAACTAACATTTTCTGAAATCATGTGACATGTAAACATGCAACAGTTTAATATAACTAACCAACATAACTAATAAAATAGAATGTCATAAATACTGTGCTCAAGGTGAAGACAGTAATGTATCACCACTTTATACTTTTAATAAGTATATCCAGGCCCAGACACTTCAGATCTCATTAATACTAACCTTCTGCCCCATTAAACCTTGGTTTCCTGGAAATCCTGGAATTCCCTAAAAAAGTAAGATAGATGTTAACTTAAAAATTATAGACTGCATCATGAAAGAAGAATCAGTAATAGGTGATTTTGGGGAGGAAGTGGGAACTAGGGATCAAAAGCAATTACTGAATTTAACTTAATTTTAAATATGCATATTTTAAGACTCTGCATATATGTATAGCTTTGTAAACAACGTCTAAGTGTTTATCATGCATACTGCAACATAACACTGCTTTTTACAATAATCCAATTTCGTATAAGACACAATATATGAGATTCAATGTTATATGAACATTTACTAATAGTTAAATATTTAAAAAGACAAAGCTAGGAAGAAATTAAATCTTGTTTCTTCTTTTAGACCAACATAACTAATAAAGCAGCACCACGATTTGAAAACTCATGTAAACTCATTTTTATTTACTTACAATGAATACTGTAAGAAGGCCTGTCACATAATACAAATTTAGGCTTCATACAGTAGTTCCAAAAGTTATCACAACATCACATCTCCAATTAGAAATTAAGGAAACTCGGTGATTTCCTCTAAACTGAGCCATTACACACTCTGCAACCTAACTACTCAGATAAGACATGGCAGTCTTTTCCCGAACGATTCCCTGTTGGTGATCATGCAGGCCATACTGTGTAGACAAAATCATGCACACAGATGCAAAAGAACCCTCATGTGTGACTCAGCCTAAAATAAGAGCTCTGTAGGAAGATTTAGAAAAAAACACAAATTTTATTAAGTTAATACATTAGTGCATTATTGGGAAAGCTGTCCTTGTCAACCATTTACTGAATGAACACTCATTACAAGAAATGTTGATAGTACTAACCAATTTTCATTTGTCAGTCATTTTTCTTGGCTACTTTCATAGTCTAATTGAAATGATTGATTATATTTACATGTACATATTGCCTCTCTAGCAGAAGGTATTTGAAAAACAAGGAAGTTGCCTCAGAGTATGAGCTTAAGTATGTCCTTAAGACTTCTGCATTGTCAAAGGCTTCAAAGAACAGAAATAGTCATAAATATCAGGGACTGAGGGAGAGCTGCCATTGCTAGGATTATCTTTTACTACAGAACACGTCTGCCATGATTTTGCTTTTTGACAGTATAAGTTTGTGAACACAAGTTTGCTCAATCTTTGCCTACAGCTATACATGCCTGACACAAAGGTATAGTTCTAGTTTTAGAATCTTAAGTTGGAATTCAGCTTAACACAATTAAATTCATTTGCCGGGGCTGGAGAGATGGCTCAGTGGTCTAAGGTACCTACTTAGAACAAGCTTGGCAAAGCATCAGGGACCGCGGTTCAATCCCCCAGCACC